AACACACAGTTACTGTATGACTCACCAGCTGTGCCTGTTGATACATATTCAAAGGAATGGGAATTTATATTCACGAAGAGCACTTTTTTACAATTTCAAACACATCTAGGAATGTATGAATTCCCACATTTTTGTGAGTGTCTCAAACCTCCTCTGTCACTCATCTCTACTTCTATGCACTGTTGTTCTGGGCAATCCTTTCAGGTTGGCTGAGGTTGGTCATGTCTCCTGTGTTTCCGGAGCTGGAGGATGTTCTGTTGTACTGTGCAGTGAGTTCATGAAGTTCAGAACAAAGCAGGTAAAGACCAGAGGGGAAGTTGATGCTACCTCAGTGGACCCAGCAGGCTTAGTAGGTGGTGTACAGGTAGCATTGGAGGAGAGCACAGCAGAAGGCTTTCCAGGCACAGCAACCATCATTTAGAAAAGGAAGGTGGCTTCTGCATTTAGATGGCATCACAGACTAGCAAAGTAGGGAGTCTTTGGATCAGATAGCCCCAGAAGGGGCTGTGCTGTGCTAGCCAGCCTTCTCATTGCTGGGACAAAATGTCTGATACAAACAACTTAAAACAACAATAACAAAAGGTTTATGCTTGCTCATCAGTCTATCATAGGGCATGGTGGCATAGAGCTGTTCACATCATGGCAGCCAGGAAGCAGGGAAAGGAGACACAGGAAGAGACCAAGCAAGATGCAGTCCTCAAGACACTTTCCCTATGACCGATTACTGCTCTCTTCCAACTCAGTTCACCCCTACCTCTCACCACTTCCTAATAACGCTATCTTATTATGTACTCATCAAGGATTAGATCAGAGCACATATGATGTCTCTCTCTCCACAATACCCAGAGCTGGGTTTACTGATGCACTATGCATTTCCCCATCCAGTCAAGTTAACAGCTGAAATGAACCACCATAGGCAGTACAGTCTCTCTGAACTGTCTTAATAGATGACATTCTGATGTGAGTCACTGACATTTCTCGACCGGAGCTGAACATTCTGTGTTCTACTCTGGTTAACTTCTCTCTCCTCTGGGCATCCCTGAAGGCTATGTACAGGTCCCTTTGACATCATGTTGATGGTGTCTGCCTCTCTTTATTGGGTTCTGAGTCCTTTTGGAACCCACCCCTCCCACGCCCCTGTATCACCAGAATTGGTATAATTGATCCAGACTAAAGTTGGAGTAGGGCAGAATTGCTGCACTCACACTCAGACAAGTGCCTGGCTTGTGGACACTCAGACAAGTGCCTGGCAAGTGTATACTTGATGTGCATTTATTGATGAAGAAGCCACTGTCAAATAACCGGTAGTCAGTAAATATTTGCTGAGTTACTAAGTTAGTTTGTGCATATATTAGTGTGTCTCATAGGCAGAAACCACCCAGTCCAATCCTGCAGACTCAGTAACTGCATAAGGGAAATGTAGGGCAAAGGGCAGTGTCAAGCTTATGTCTGGATTTGATTTTCAGTGTTGACATTCCCCTTCCACCCAAGAACACTGAAGACCTGAGCGTGAGGGAGCTGTAAGGTAAAATACTCAGACATATTATTGTTCGGTGAGAAGACAGGGAGTGGGGGATGGAGAGTATTTTTGGGTAACTGAGCCCTTTGTGCTCTGAGTTTCAGTCTACTGAACTGTGTTTGTAAGCAATGCTTTTTATTCTTTGTGGAATTGGGAAATGCTACTCAAGAAACTTCTACATTCATTTTTATAGATCAAATCCTATCTTGAGCTATCTATTAAAGGGAAGAGGGATGCGCTGCCTCGAGACACATAATTTTAATATTCTTTAGCTTTTATGTTTAGGCCAGCCTTCTACTTTAAGTGTCTCCACAAGTCACAAATCATTTAAAGGAACTCAGACATCCAAAGCCCTTCCTGCTTCCATTCATGGATGCACAGTCGTGGTTCCATTTGCCTACAAAAGAAATCTGGTGGTTGAAGATGTAATTAAGACTACAGTCACAACCATTTCAAGGATAAATAAGCTATGTTTATTAGTATAAAATGAAACAGCAACAATAAAATCTAGCACAAGCCTATCTGCTTTACTACAAGCACACCTTGTTGTTTGTGACTGTATCATAGATGGGAACTAGATGAGTCATGGGCAGAGCTGGAAAGTGCACAAAAAGACATACGTGACAGGAAGCAGACGGTGGCATGAGCTAGAGGGACTGAGGGAGGCCCTGTCTGGCATCAAAGTGGTTTTTAGAGTCCAAGATTGTGCATCCCATTATGTAAGTATGCAACTTGTGGCTTGCTTGGAGAGAGAACATTCAAACAGATTGCTTTCTTCCAAGTTTGTTTGCTTGTTTGTTTTGACGTGCTCTATTGTAGCCCAGGCTGGCTTTGAACTTTCTGTGTGACTGAGGATGACTTTGAACTCCTGAACTTCCAGTCTCCACCTCCCAAGTGCTGAGATTATATATATATATATATATATATATATATATATATATCTCCTTTGCCATGGCATCTCTGTTCCTTCCAAGCTATTTCTTTTCACCACTTCTGCTGAATTGTGTCTATCTCCACTCTGAGTCCTGGTTTTTGATGAAGTGAATTTTTATTTACTATTTTCTTCCTTTGTTTTTTCCTTATCTTTGTTCTTTTCCTGAACCCCAAGTCTCCCAGTTTAATTGTTTGATCATAAGTTCTGTAGAGGGTACGAGGTCCTTAAGCTCACAAATAGCGCTAGGGAAACTCAAAATATTAAACTTGCCTGCTTTCTTTCTAATGGAAGGATTTATACCTGTTTCTGCCCAGAAAGCTGGGAATGGATGTATTTAATAACCTGATGATCTTTTGCTATCTGTGGGGCCAGGCTTCATACAAATCTCCCAGACTACCATGTTGATTTCAGTTCCTTCCCAGACTTCTGAGCATTGTTTCTCAGTTAATAGAACCCATTTTTATGGAAGAGGTCATAGGTACTTTGCAAAGGAGTTTCAGCGTAGTCATGTCTTAAACTCTATTATGATTATTGTCTCAAGGGAACTTTTCCCCAAAGTTGTACTGTGTTTAAGTATGTTCAGAACAAACTGCTTGGGGTCAGACTCTAGAAGTCTGAACCAACACTGGCCAGCTAAGTAGTGCGGAACTGGATTTCCTTCTTGCCTTACGTGGATTGTTACTCTGCTGGCCACATAGCATTTGCAGGGACCTCCACAGAGTTCCCTGGTAATTCTGGTCATCCTTTGTAGATATCCAGGGGTTTGCCTTGAATTTGAAGATCTGATGAGAAGCAGAATTAAGTGATAGTGCAGAGGAAAATGAAAGGGACCAGCTAAACTGTGCAGCCTGGGCAGTGGACCACATTAGCTGTGGAGAGAGAGGGTGCTATAGAGAGATGGTCATGGGTAGAAGATAAGAGGCTATTCAGCTAGATCTAATAAATTTTGTTAGAATAAGTCCTCACATGGCCACCATTAAACATGTCAGGTTGGGCCGGGTGGTGGTGGCACATGCCTTTAATTCCAGTACTCGGGAAGCAGAGGAAGGCAGATCTCTGTGAGTTCGAGGCCAGCCTGGTCTACAGAGCGAGTTCCAGGAGAGCCAAGGCTGTTACACAGAAAAATTCTGTCCCAAAATAAAAGCCAGGTTCGGGCTGGAGAGATGATTCTGGGGAAGAGCATGTGCTGCTCCTGCAGACAACTCAAGTTCACTTCCTAGTACCCACATTGGGTGACTCACAACTGCCTGGAACTCCAGCTTAGGGTATCTGACGTCATCTTCTGGACTTCTGAGGTACTACACTCTTGTGTAGGCACACACACACATACACACACACACACTGTAAAGAACAAAACAAATCTTTTAGAAAGTCAGACTAGACAAGGAACTGCTGTGCTCGCATGATCTGAACTCCGTCTCCACTCAAGTCACCAGTTTTACAGATACAATCTTGAGGTTGTTTATTTTCCCCGGTCCCTCACATGATCTCCATAAGGAAAAAGACTATGTTTGTGTCCTCAGTACCTAAAACACGACTGGCACATTGTCAGTAAATACTTGCTCACTAAGTGTTTGTGCAAAGGCCAGCCCCTCATGGTTCCACAGTTCACTCCTACATTGAGCAGATAGAAGAATCTGTCCTCTCCCTGGCTCGAGTGTTTTAGGAGCTCTGCTGCCTGGTTTCAAGTGTTGGCTAGAATTTCTAAGTAAGTTTTCTAATAAACTAGTGAAATAGATGGACAGACATTGCTAATGACTGTTGTGCCTCTCTAAAATTCATCTTGAGATCAAATCCCCAGTGAGTTGGTATCAGGAGGTGGAGCCTTTGTGACGAGGTCATAGTGACAGCAATGAGATTACTGCCCTTGTTAAAGAGGTCCAGGGATGTTTTTCACCCCCTTTGCCATATAAGGAGACAGTGAGAAGGAGCCATCTATGAAGCAGAGGCTCCACCAGACACCGAATCTGCCGGCTCCGTGACCTTAGCCTTTCCAACTGCCAGAGCTGTGGGAAATAGATTTCTGTTGTTTATTAATTGCCCAGTCTAAGCCACTCAGTCATAGTGGCCTACATGAATTGAGACAGACGTTTATGGCTGTCTGTTTGACTTTTATCTGCTCTTCAGCGCCGTTTCCCTTTATCCTGGCTCCCAGCGATGCTCTCCAAATTGTGGCTTTCTTTACCTCAGGGTTGGAGCTTAAGAGGGGGAAGGAATTACCATGTTCACAATGGCTGCTCTTTTCCACTGTAAGAACCTCCTGCAAGGAACAGCGGGATTATGAAGCACGTGACCCTGCAGTTCAGAGTGGTATTGCACATAACTGAACTGCTGAGAGGGGCCAAGGGGAGCATTCAAGTCTTCGCCGTTTGCAGGAGCAGCAGTGATGAAACCTGGCTGAAATGTGAGGTCCGTGCTAATGTCGGAGGAGGAAGTTCCTGGTAAAACCCTGGAGGAGCTGGTACTTCCACCTGCTGGAGGGAAGACCGCGCCTCAGAGCTCCCTCCCAGCTGCTTGGTCAAAGGAGTCATGACAGAAGACGAAGAATAGGTGTAACAGGGTGCAAAGTTTATATACAAAGAATATAATGTTTATCTGAAATATTTACAGTGTTGGTTAAAGCAATATTTTTACAACTTTTCCGGGTAAACGACTACGTATATTACAGGTAAGCTACAATGATTTAATTTGCAAAAATGGAAAAAAAAATAAGAGTAAAAAAATGTTTCAAACAAAGTTTAAAATACTCAAGTCAATTTATAAACTGTATTTACTTCGCCTTTATTTGAAGGCATCATGCAATGAGGAATGGTTAATTGTACTCTTATAAACTGATGGGATGCATGCAACAGTCGAAGTTAAGGAGGGTGTAAAATGAGCAATGAAGGGTTTTGAGACTTAGACGCCGCCGAGGTTGGAGCTGAGGAAGAGGTTGAGATAACAGCCAGCTTTATCTCAACCAAGTCTGAGACCCACAAGTGTAGACCCACGGAGAAAAATCAAACATTTGCCTGACGGGGCAATCTGAGTGCACAGTATAAACCAACGGACTGACCAAAGAGGGAACATGCCTCTCAGGTCGCAGTACCACCTATTCAAAACTAACCTTAAAATGAGCTGTTTTAAAACTTCATAAAAATAGTCACGATTTTATTAGTTCGGATATTTCTACAAGATCTGGACGGGCTTTCGCTTTATGTGAAGACAGCTATCCATTCCCGAGGCCGCCTAGGGCCTTATAACTCAGGGAATGTTGGGGGCACACACATGCAAGAGGCAGGGTAAGTTGGAGTTGGAGCTTTCGGGGTTGTGCTTGGGAAACCGGAAGTGAGTTCGCAGAGCGGAAGTGGTCCCTGGAGCCCTGGGTCTGGCTAGTCAGAAACCACCCCACTAGCAAATTAGCACTGCAGCTTGCGGATGCTGCGGGAGATGCGTTTGAATTCTCTCTGGCCCTTCTGCCACCGCTTCACTGAGGTGATCACCAGCTCCCCGCCCTGTTTCTGTCCCATGACCAGATAGGGCGCGTTGATGTCGTTCATCTCCTCACAGGTGCACTGCAGGCTGTCTTTGAGCCACAGCACCGATTTCTTCAGGTCTCTTTCAGACACACCGTTCAGCTTGTAAATGGTCTTGCTCTTCGTCTCCAGGATGATTTTGGTGTCTCTGTTGATGTAGGTTATCTCCTTCACTTTGATTTTCAGTGCTGTGAAGGCAAGCGGGGGGCAGGAACAACACAAAACACGAGTTATGATGAGGGAGGACTGTGTGGATTGTCAGCTTTGCTGCCTGTTCTGCGCTTGGTCAGGGGCTGCATGGAGGGGCTTTGGCCCTGGGAGCAGTAGGTGGCTCCATTTCCAAAGTCCCAAAGCATTGGCTGGGCATTTTGTTTCAAATCAGCCATCCTTTCAGAACCTTCTTGCAGGACTCAGGTAACTAACTCTTCTTCTCACACTGCTGTTGTGTTGGTAAGCCCCTTGGCATGCGGTTCTTGCTACCTTCAGCAAATGACTCCCCTACTGGAGGAGTCTTCAGCATGGGGAGAAAGGCCTAACTCTTAGTGGAACGTGAGCTGCCAATGTTAAACTGGGTTTATTATGTCACAGAGGTTTCTGGACAAACCTGTGAGGAAATGGTGTCTTGGTCGCTGTTTTCTGAAGGACAGATTACAGGGGAAGGAGAATGGATCTTGCAGCTGCTTTTGATTTGGAAAAGTAACAAGGAGGAAGAAATATGCAAGTCTCTTTTTTAAGAGCACAACATGTTTAGCCATAAAAGTCTTTTCTGAAGACTCCATCCTTATGTGCTCTCATTTGCCTGGCCAAGGCCAAGGCATTTACAGATCATGTATGTACTGTTTCCAAAAATGTGTATGTAGAGTCATTAGAACGTTAAGACCCCAAAGTAAGTTGTTTACTATAAAAGACACGTTTTATAGCCATGAACACTAGGCTTTGGGAAATACACACGCTGGGATTAAATTTCAGGACTCCACACATGCAGGAAAAGGATAGAGTTTTCAGGTTAGAAAGGGTCATCCCATTAAAAGCTCATTAGTACATGGAGATGCAAATTGAGAGAAGTGTCCATGACTTGTACCAGGCCACCCAGGTAGCTTGTGTCCTAGCTTAGTCCCCAGACCCCTTTCTACACTGGCACTGTGTTCTTCCAGGCGATGTCAAATTCCCGTCCTTGTGAAGCATTAAGTCACTCAACTCCAGTGTGTCCTAAGACTCTTGGTGCCACTGACAGCTGTAGTAGATGACACGCGTGTGTGACTTCCCAACTTTGATGGGGTTTAATGCATTGTTTAAATTAGTAATAGTGGAGAATTGTGTGTGTGTGTGTGTGTGTGTGTGTGTGTGTGTGTGTGTTTGAGGTTTTCTTTTCCTTAAAAAAAAAATTCAGACAAGGAACTCAACTGAGCTAGCTTTCCAGACAAAAAGGAAATGAAGGTTACTTAACCCAGTAAAGCAAGGATGCTGTGACTTAGTGAGTGACAGGTTTGTCTGATACAGTGCTCATCTGAACCGCAGACTCCTCAGGGTTTCAGGAATAAGCCACATGGAGATGCCACATGTTCTTCTGTCTCTAATAGGGATGGGAGGCCACCATAGGGGTGAATTGAACTGACTATCCATTAGCAAAGAGTGTAGTCTCTAACATAGACGGGGCCAGTGCAAGGCCGTATCTGGTCAATGGAACACTCTTGAGCTTCAAATACCAGAAAAAAAAAAATCTATCATTTTGAGCTGGAAGGAGGTGTCTTAATTACCCTTCTTTAGCTCTAAAATATATATTATGGGGTAAGTGGGATTCCTCCTTAGACTTGAAGCTGAAACAAAACATAGGGAATTAAAGACCCAAAATAGCATTCTTGCTCTGGAAGGTGTGAATGGGGACGCCGGGTGTGGTAGGAAGCACAGGTGACAGTCCCCCACCCCGTTCCACGCTGCACTGTGGAGGGAAGGAGGGGCTTTCCAGTTCTCTGTTTCCAGTGTGGGTGGGTGGGGCGTGCTGTGCCTGCTGCTGATGCGCAGGAAATAAGCTTCACTGCTCAGCCTGTTCCATCTCCGATTCCCCAAAGGACAGAGACAAAATGGACTACGTCTTCATTGTCCCTGTCTGGGGACAGAGGGCAGAGATCCTAATTGCTACACTGTACAGCATAGTCACACTGCTTCTTTGGCTCAGATCTTCATATTGGCATTTTCAGTAAGTTTGTCTTCTGTGAGGTAAGCCACAGAGCAAGCAAGTGGTGTGCATTGGGTGTGCGCGTGGTCTCCTAAATGTGTCTGCTTGGGAGTCCCATGAAAGTCAGAAGAGAAATTTTATGTGTGGTATAAAGAGCGTAAGCTTCCAGGAGAAAATACTTCATAGAATTGTAAATTTTACCAAATAATCCTCTGACTTGTGGCAGTGAAGGACTGGGATTTGGTAAGATTCTCGAGACTGAAAATTATCCACTACTGAGATAGTTTGAGGCCTGTATGTTTGAAGACAGACATATGAAACTTTATAGGCCCCATGCATGGCTCCTCCTGCTAGGAAAAGTTGTTAGTGAGGACCTGGAGTCTTATTCTGTATATAACACTTCCTCAACAGTGTTAAGTCTCTCCTTGTGTCAGGGGTACAGTTCAGGAACCAGCCAAGGTTCAACTCAGGACGCTTCCTGAAAAGATCTGAAGTGGACGCAGATGGGCGACCAGGGCTGTCCACAGTGTTAGAGACGTGACTCAGCCTGAGATTTCAACAGGGGCAGCCTAGACCGGTTTCCTCAGTCTTAGGGACTTGTGGAGTGTGTAGAAATGTTCACATGGATCTGTTAGACTCCATGCTATTTGGTAGACCAGTGGCCTTCTATGCTCACCAATAACTTCCCACTTTTGACTGAATAATACCCTTACGGGATACCAGCCCCTCTAATACAACCAAAGGCGCCTACCATTGGAGTAGGATTAAAACAACAGTGCATTCTGGGTGAGGCAGCAATCTGGGTAAAGTCCCTGGCCGCTCCTGATTCTGATTTTGGCTTTGCCCCTGTGTCTGGCTAGTCTCCCCCTTCACCTGGGGGCTTGAGGACAGCAGGTGGTGTTTTTTCGGATAAAATTTGTCTTTCCTCCTACAACCCTTAAGGGCAGTGACTTACTGTCTGTGGTCCTTGGCTAACATCACTCATGTTGTGTTACTTCGTGCGTCCCAAGCATCACAGCATCACAACCTCCTTCACCTAACTTGGAAAACTTTCTTCTTTCCTGACTGTTTGTAAAACCGTGACCAATGTGTCACTCTGCGCTACAAACTGAGTGAAAATACTTTCGTTTGATGCCAGTGCGAGTGTTTATTTTGGGCCAGTTTAAGGGCTTGAATGTTTGCTGAGGGTCATATGTGCTTTTCTGTTCTTGGCGCACATCTTAAACAATTGAAAAAGATAACATGGCACAGGATTCTGTGTGCTAGCTAGCGCGCGCGCGCGCGCGCGCGCGCGCGCGCACACACACACACACACACACACACACACACACACACACACACAAAAGCCAAAGAGATCAGAAGCTAGCCATTGTGCACTGGTAATTTGAGAAATTCCCAATTGATTGCTGTCTAAGGAAACAGTGAACGTCATTCAGTGTAACTCAGTAGACAGTGACATGTGACAAGAACTAAGAACCAGTCAGTTAGGCAACTTTAGGGAGCAGGAGATGTGGTCATGCCTCACCTAGCCTCATCTGGAGACTTCTTACTGGTTTACACTTTTAACTTTCCCTGGTAAATAAAAGTTGGGTGGATGTGGTATCTGGTGGTGGTGGCGGTTACTTACCAAAATCATTTTTACAGAGAGTTTCCATTATGTCGTTGTCGTCGTCGTTTTTAGTTTTGCAGGCTTCGCACACCTTCGGAGCTGGAAACATGACAAGGTCTTTAGTGAGCTTGCTTCCACAGGAACAGCAGGTGGCGTTTGTAAACAACTCAAAAGGATGCAGCCAGACCAGAGCAGCCATTGTCCTGTATGACCCCTGTTTCTGCCTCCTCTATAAAAATAGGACCCCTCATTCCTAAGTGCTGCACTTGCCATTTCTGGTTGGGTGAAATGAGAATGGCCCATGTCCTGCTTTATTAGCACTGACCCCCCAAAAACAAAAAGGGAGATGTGGGGAGGTGTGTGTTGCAAGACAACCCAGAGGTTGTAGCTTTTCAATTCATCCTCCTCACCCCTCGGATGATTTCAGTTCTTCCCAAGTATCTAAGGAAAAAGCACCAAAAGATCCAAACCCTGGAGGTACTTGGGAAAATGTACGAACATAAAGTAGAGCGGAGAGATGGTTCTCATCTGCAGGACATGGAGAAAAGTCTTCTGCTCAGCAGGGTGCTAGGTCTAGGGGAATTTGCATGTATTTTTCCTCATCTGGGCTGGGAAGGATGGCTAGTGTTGTGCTGTGGGGAACCTCTAGGGCCTGCTTGCATCTTGGAAGCACATCTCAGTAATTCCAACAGCCAGCTCTAACTGGCTCTCCTTCACCTCATGCTTCCTGCCAAGTTTGTTTGACTTACGGTGTATTTCTTACGGTTTATTTCATCATTCCCCTCCAGGTCCCTGGTACAGGTACTTGTTGCCCATCCTATGCAAGCCAACAAACCTGGAGACAAGCTGATCCAGATGAAGGAAAACTTTCTGTGGGCTTTGTCTGAGCAGACCCAGGATTTTGTGTGCTCTCACAGCTATCGGTCTAAGACTGGTGTAAAAGAACGTATGTTCAAGAAGAAAAGAAAACATTTTCCCCTCTACTTTATAAATATGCCTAATGCTATCTTTAAAACTTAAGTGTGATTATATAGGTTTTCACTAGTATGAAATTGAATTTTCACACCCAGAAATTCCCATTATGACTCACAATAGAAAAGTTATCTGATATTTAAAAATATCAAAGAGCAAAATTTGCAGGCATATGGACTTACTTTGAAGAAGGAAAGTGAGTTTTGGAGAAAACACCCAGTATATGTTTGGGTTGATAGTAGGAAGCAAAACAAAAGCAGCCCACACAAAACTGCCTCAGCTCTACCCAAGTTGAGAGAAATACTTCCAGTGGGGAGGCTCACAATGTGTATGAAATGCTACCAACCTGTCTGTATCGGTTACTCTATGGTATATGTTGGACAAATGTTTGAAAAATGCCAAACATTTGCAATAAATTAGAAACCTAACCAATAAGATGATTGCAGACTCATGGTGCCTGCCAGGAAAGATTGCTAAACAACTTTGTATTTTCTTTAACTAATGATGTCTACAGGAAAACAATTAGAGATTGAAAGGGGATGCTGCTGAAGCCCTGAGACGGATTAGGAAGCCCCCTTTCTATCTCAGGGGGCCTAAATCAGCTCAGACACATTGTATACTTTTTCCTTTCAGGGAAAATATCAAGAGCCCATGAGGTTTTCATTGCTTTGATGGTTTTTGCCTATGAACTTCCCTCTGTTTTCTAAAAACTTGAGGAGACTCTTCTGCATGATTTTCTCCAGTTAATTAAAACCACTCCTAAGATTAAAAAAAAAAAAGCTGATAGTGACACACACACACAAAAAGATGATCCTGGAGATTCCCTTTATCCTCTCTTCCTCCAACACCTGGGCAGTTAAAACCGACATTCAGTGTTCCACTCACTCCCAGCCAGCCTTCGTTTTATCTCCCAAACCTAAATTGGCAAAGGAGACAAAGTAGCTCAAAGGGCGGTCCGTGTGTATCGTGTGTTTTTGTCCAGTGGGACAAGAACGTGCAGAGAGAGGCTAAGCAGAAGAAGCCTCTGGCCTGGGTGCTCATCCTCAGGACCCGGCCATGCTAAAGGCTTTCAGAAGCGTGGCCGCAGAGCAAGCATCTCCAAACAAGAATTGGCACTTTTGTTTGGCTTAAATCCCTAAGGGGAGTTGTTGTTATAACCAGGGAGGGGTCTTGGCACAGGGGTGGATATCTCAAGCTTGGTACACGGTATGGCAACAGACTAGGGCAGGGAAGAGCTTCTGCCACATCTAAGGCTGGAACCCCCAGCCGGGACTAACGAGGATGTAGAATGGAGGCTCCCGGGTTCCCCCGCCCCCAGTCCCAGCACCTCAGGCTAGTTGGGAGTGGGTGGAACGAAGAGAGAAGGCTTACCTTCCTCTGTCGCCGGCAGGAGGTGGTCGCTGCTAGCGAGGGGGATGCAGAGGTCGTTGTCCTGCGGGAAACGGTCGCATTCCAGCATGTCGGGCCAGGGGAAGCCGAAGGCGGACATGACCGGGGCGCAGCGATCCTTCACCTGCACGCAGAGCGAGTGGCACGGCTGGATAGTCTCGTCTAGGTCGTCGAGACAGACAGGGGCGAAGAGCGAGCACAGGAACTTCTTGGTGTCCGGGTGGCACTGCTTCATGACTAGCGGAATCCAGGCGCCCGCCTGCTCCAGCACCTCCTTCATGGTCTCGTGGCCCAGCAGGTTGGGCAGCCGCATGTTCTGGTACTCGATGCCGTGGCAGAGCTGCAGGTTGGCCGGGATGGGCTTGCAGTTGCTGCGCTTGTAGGAGAAATCGGGCTGGCCGAAGAGGAAGAGCCCACGCGCCGAGCCCAGGCAGCAGTGCGAGGCGAGGACTAGCAGCAGCAGCGAGCCAGGGCCCCGCGGCATCGTGGACTAGCGACCCCCGGGGGGGCGGAGGCAGCCGAGTCGGAGAAGCGCGAGGCAGCCGGAGCCCGAGCTCGTCCCGGACCCGCTCGCTCTGCTCGTGGGCTCTGCAAGGCCGGCGACACGAGAGCGCGAAGCCTGGCGCGGGGAAGTCGGCGTGGGCAAGGCGCTGCAAGCCGGCGCGCAGCTCCGGGGGGCTCGACCCGGGGGAGCAGAGTGAGCGGCGGCTGGGGCCCAGCCAGAGTTTTCTTGGCCTTTTTTATGCAAATCTGGAGGTGGAAGGGGGGGAGCAAGGGAGGAGCCAGCCCGGAGTAATCTGAGGAGGCAGGTCACTACTTTCTGGAGCTGGTTTTGCGTTGAGAATGCCCCTCACGCTCTAGCTGGCAGGAAATTCGGGCTGCGACCCCACCCCGATGCAGCAGCCGCTGCGCGCGCGCTCTGGCAACCCCCTTGCCAGTGGACTAGCGAGGCCCCTGCGTCCCACTGCGCGAGAGCAGAGAGTGAGGCTGAGGCGGCGAAAAGTTGAGAGCACGCGTGGAGCAAGGCTAGCCGCCTCGCGGCTGGGTCTGGGCTGGAACGTGTTTCACGCCCCGCGTGGCCTGCATCCTTATTGGTGCGCCCTAGCCCTTACTTATCAGCACTGTGTCCTCGGGCAACCAGGAGCCGGCAGTTCGGGGCTCTTTGTGCCCCAGGGTTTTTGCCCGGGACTACCTGCTCGAGGCTGTCCGGGAGAACTTGGCTTCAACTCCAGCCGAAGCTGAGCCGGCTGGCTCGTGCAGTGCCTTTTCACTGCCTTTCGACGCATTGTGAATTAGAAAACGTAGTAGCAATGATGCATCGAGTTGCTGTTTTGCTAGGGTGTCTATAGGATTCTGTCACTGCAGAGGATTTGTCAGACTCACAAGAGTTTGCCCGCCATTTCTCCTTTTTTGGAGAAGAGACTTTGCCTTCTGCAGGGACGTCCACACTTGAAGGCAGAACAGGCTCTAATACATAAGGGCTCAGGATTGCCTCAGGATAGGCCACCAAAACAATAATTGGGACTTATGAGTACTAGGGGCAGGAGGCTTGAACAGGTTGGGAAGGAACCGGGCAGAGACTCCTGCCTAGAGGTTCACAAGAGCGTGTCCTCGGTACAGTTGGCTCATTCGTCCTATAATAATCAGGGACACCATCCTGGTCACCAGATATGAGAAGTGAACCAAGAAACCATCCTCTGCTCGGTGTGAATAGGGAACTTAGTGCTGATGGACTGTAAACGCTAAGAGGGTGGAGGCTAACCACGAATAGTAAGGTGCCCGGCTAGGGAACGTGTGTAAAGGAGGGCTGAGAGGATGTGTGGGCTTGCACGCGTGCAGGGAATGGAGGGGGCTCCTTTCCCCAAACCTACTCCTAGTCTTAGTCATCTTCCTCTTCTATGGGACCTTGTAGGTCCTGGGCAGTGACCCCCGCCCCCGGAAAGCGATCCTCTTTCATATGTAAGGTGGGTACATTGTTATAGCTTCCTGGACACTTAGAGCCATCCGCAGGCTCTGATCCCTGTCGCCCGATTTACATTTCCATCCTCCTGGGATGATGCATTGGGGGCTCAGTGGGTAGCACATTTTGTGGCCCCCGCAGTTTTTAAGAGGTTAAGAGGTGATGGAATGCCGACATAATGCTGTTTTCTACCCACTCCTGGTAATAGACAACACAAGCAAACATCCGGAGCGAGCGCACCATCTGAGTTTCTAAAGGTCCAGCTTCCATTTTTCTTGCTCTGCTGAAGGAAGATCGGGGCAGCTTCCATTCAACTGGCTCTAGGCCTTCCCTTGTCTAACTGAAGCAGCCAGAGACTTAAAAGTCCTTCTTCCCAGATACAAACTAGTTTGAAAGTGAGCCACATAAACACAAACAGGTTAAATCAAACAGCTACGCAGAGCCTGAACGCTGAAATACCGGACTTGGACCCTGGAGTGGAATTCAGGGCTCTCTGGTATCCACTGCTCGTGGCTCCAAAGCACTCCCATGGGGTCACATCCCGCTTGCAGATCCCCTGAGTGGGAGCTCAAGAAGCCCAAATCCAACCCGCCGGGTTTGAGTCACTCGCTTTTGTATTCGGACGAGCAGCATGCGCCTGGCGCACTCCCGCCGGCCTAGGCATTGTTTGGGGGATCCTGCGCCCTTCCCGCTCGCCGCCAGGGGGCGCCCGCAGTCGTACAGGAGTCCATTGCGCCACCGAGCGCAAGGTCTAGCTCCCTCCTGCCTGCTTGCCCCGCCGGCGGCGCAAATCTAGGAGGCCTGTCTCAGACCCAACATCGGTGCCACTCGGCCTGGATCACACCTGGCTCCAGCTGCATTTCCCTCTCCATCTCGAGTCATGCACCTTCCTTTCGACCGCGACCCTCCAAAAGCGCGCGCGCGCGCGTGTGTGTGGCATGCCCGCGAGGCCATCCAAGTGTGTGTGTGTGTGTGTGTGTGTGTGTGTGTGTGTGTGTGTGTGTGTGTGTGACAGGCACTCCGGTGAGGCCAGCTGGCTGCTGGGGAGCAGGGCATTCGCCTCGTGCAGAGAGTGGACCACTGTCTGTGTGTAAGGCACAGCCCAACGACACTCGGTGATCGTCCCCACGGGGGTTTCTGTGTGAGTTTACCGTTGCCCGGAGGCGCAAACTCCTGGAGAAGCACTCATTTGGCGCGCCTGGGTTAGCCCAGGCTCTTCAGTGCTTCCTGGAAGCTCCCTGATTCACAGGTTTCCTCCCCTCCTCACTATTTATGCAAAGCAACAGGCCTTTGCCGCGGAGAGACCATGTTGACCCTCTTCCCCTTACTCCTTGCCTGCTTCCAGGAAGAGAAGCTCCATTCACCCTCACCTAGTTGGTAAACAGGGACTGTACTGTGATCCGCAGTGCCAGGCCTTGGCATTCTGCTTAGAGGACGCTGCTTACTGGTCGCCAGCTATGGGTAGGTCCCCTCCTGCCACTCCCCCCCACCCCCACCCCAGCGCACAGCGAACAACCTTCCACTCAAATGCTGCAGGCCTGAAGAGCCCCCACAACTCTGCATTTGGTCCTGCCTCTCCGTTTGGTGTTTTCTGTCTTTAGGGGATTGAAGAATCTTGACGGACAAAGAAAGCCTCCCCAGTCTCTGTATTGCTTGGTTAAACCTTTGCTGATTGCTAGATTTCTGGAGAGGGAAGATCTTCGCTTTCACACTCAGATGCTTGGGGGACCTCCAAGCTCTGGAGCTTGTCAACCCCAGTTCTGCCCCCCCCCCCACCACTCCAGCACTCGCACTCGCGAAGGTCGCGGGGTGGACTGGGTATCAGGAAAGCGAGCTTCTGCTTGCACTTGGGAATGGGGTCCTGAAAGCGTACGGAAGCCCTGGGAAGGAGTGGAAAGCAAGACAGCCGCGTGCACGCTGGTTTCTTAATTTCAACTATGCAGCTCCCGGCGGCAGCGCAGGAGGCAAACTTGAAATGGAAACCAGTTTCTCACCCCCACCCTCCAGTGTTCACATCACTGGCCTGTCCTTCCTTTAGATGGAAAAAATGTGGGTGCTAAGTTTCCAATTTCCTTGTTAAAACGCATGTCGCGGGAGGGTTTAGGCTCTACAGCAGCCTCGGAGCCAAGAATAACAGTGGGGCAGCACGTAGTAGGACAAACCTGCGACGAAGATAAAAAGGTGCAGCAACTGCCCGACCAATGTCATCTTGTCCTTAGAAATCCTCACTGCCGCCCAGCAGGTGGCCGTGAACATTATCTTTAACAAACACCCCCACACACACACACACATATTTATTCTTGGGGGTTGATGGACCACAGCATGCGTTTGGAGAGGACAACTTTAAGGTCTGTTCTCTCCTTGTACCCTGTGGGTCCCGGAGATAAAGCTCAGATGGTCAGGCTTGATTGTTACTGGTAAGGCAAACTTTCAAGGTGCCCTGATTGTTACTCTTCTGGGTTTTCCCAGTTGGAAGGAAACAAGCACAGAGGGGTTTAAGTGGTGAACCAGGCGACACGACACAGTAAGTGGTACAGCCGTCTGTTTCAGGGTTCTGTCCTTTTGTTTGTCGCCAGCAGTGTTGTTACTTGGCTTTTACCCACTGACTTTCCAGGGGTGCGTGTTGTCTTTCTTTTCTGGGGTCTTCCCAGGCTCCTGGTGAGGCTGCCAGGTGCCAGGGCGAAGTCTCCGTCCACGATTCCATGCAGCCATCTGGGGGCGCCATTTCCCAAACCAGAGATTGTCTCTAGTCTGGCCAGTGTTGCTTCCCTCTCGCTGTGGGAACTTTGAGATCTTTTACGTTCTTACCGGCTGCTCAAGAGGATGGCTTTTGGTGCTCGGAGGAACAAAGACTTCATTTCTTAGACTCCTTTTCGTCCGGTCACTAGCGAGGACGCGGGTCCCCACTCCAGGGAAGCTTTCTGCGCCGGCACAGGGAGGACAAGTGCTAGTGACCAGAAGAGGTGCTTCTCACCCCAGGAATTTCGGGAGGGCCACCCCAGGGGCCGCAACCCGGTGCTTTGAATTTTCATTTTAAGAACTGGCTAGACTGAGGGCGAAGACTATGCCAACGACTGAACAGAGCTTTTGCGCATATTTCTTTATTAATATTTCAAGGGCCTCAGCTCCAACCTGGGAAAACCAGCCAAGGGACCAGACCAAGGAAGCTGGTTGGCCGGAGGAGGCCTACTGGAGTGGGGGTTAGGCCCCCACCAATTTTTTACCAGGAGGGTAAAAAATAGGCTTGGGCTGTAGTCAGGGGCGTCTGAAGCGATGATCTCCTAAGGACAAAGCTGAGCTATCCCACGCCCAACTTGGTGGCTACCTCACCCCCAGAAGGAGCCTGTCAGGGAAGAACAATAATTGCTAGGGTCTCAGTGAATCCTGTGGTTGGCAGATTCCAACCACCCGAGGACTCCTGAGCCCTCTCTGTCCCAAGTGTAGCGAACTTGCTCATTGACAAAGGTCAAGAAGTCAGTGAATGGATACTTTGGTGGTTCTGTAACAATGGCTTAAAGAGGTAGAGACCACTCAGTGGTTAAGAGCGCTTGCTCTTGAGGAGGAGCCAGGGGCGGTTGCCAGCATCCAAGTTAAGCGTGGCTCACAATCCTCTGTAACTCCAGTTCTAAGACACCCGGAGCGCTCTGTCCTCCACCGGTACTAGCACTCACAAGGTGTGTATGCATACATTCAAGTAAACACAATTAGACATGAAATGACTAAAAGAAGCTAGACAAAAGTCCCAGCACTGGAGACTGAGGCAGGAGGATTGCCATGAGTTTCAGGCAAGCTTTGGCTACATCGTGAATTCTAGGCTTGTCTGGACTTTATAGCCACATTCTGTTTCAAAGACAAAAACAAAAACAGCAGTAGAATACAGTTGCTCTACGCGATAAAAACGATTCCCCTAACATGATCCTGATCTGTAGTGGTCACAGTGCTTTTCCCTGGCCACGGGAAAGTCGGTCACCAGCAGACTAGAGATGGACCAGAGAACTGCTTTAGAGAAAGCTCCTCTGGGGTGGAAAGGGGGTGGTGGTGGTGAGGCATATTGGGAAGGCTGTTTGTGGCTAGTATCTTGCAGGGTCCAGTTTCCATTCCGTCTGTTCTTTCAAGGAGAGAATGGCCCTTGAAATCTTGGAACAAAGGGCGAAGCATATCTTGGTCTCCCTGCTCTGCTTAAAAAACAAAACAAAACAAAAAAAGCACAAACAAACAAACAAACAAACAAACAAGGAGTGAATGACAGTAGCAGCAGCCCCAGCAGATGGAACCTGAGCAGCTGCATGTGTGTGTGTGCTCTTCCCAGATGGACTTCAGAATGGAAAGCTCTGCCATCCTTACTGAATTATCTTTTCAGGGATGCTTCTCCATATTTTGTAATTTGGGATTTTACAATTGGTAGATTTATTTTTTTCACAACCCAAATAAAGACATTTGTCAGATTCATTCAATTGACTCATCAATTTAGGACATGCTCAGCTTAAGTAAGCTGCAGGATTTGGGCTGGTCTAAGGTTAAGCATGCAACATATTATTTCAGACTGTGGTGTCCAGCCCAGGCAGACTTAGCGCCCTGGCTGAGTTCACTGGCACTAAGTCTTTATAAAGTTTTCATTAGTAAGCTCAGTGTTCCTTAATAGTTTGTAAATCTCCAGTTGTACAGGGAGGAGTCAAATATGTCACAGAAACATTTGCAAATGTTAAATTGGGTTCCTGGTCCTTGGCCAGTCTGTGAAGTGTCTAGTGATCATCTTGGCCGGACTGTGCAAAGCTGTCTGTTTCCCCCCTTGTTTCTGTGAAGTTTTAATTAGCTAAAGAGGCTCTCAACAAGTCCCACCCTGGAAGAGAGTCAGTTGAAGAGTGCTTTGAGTATGATAATGTGTTATCTGTAGGGGCCCAGAAACCCTTCTCGACTTTCACATTTCCAGATGAAAGCTGGAGAAGGACAAGACGGCCTGCGGTCTTCCTAGGACAGATTCTTCTCTGTAGCAAATGCTGAAAAGGGAGTCCTTTCTGCTTGGTGGCAGTATGCTAAAACCTTCGATTTCTGAAGGTTCTTGTTCTGTTCAGGGGGGATGGTGCAGGAGGGACCACAAAGGGAAAAAAAAAGAAGAGAGTAATTTTTTTTCTCATACCCAGCTTCAAAATCAGATCACGTCTCTATATATTTTCATTTTGAAAATTTTGGCAAATAGTGTCACTCTGTAGCTCATTCATTTCCATGAGAGTTGAAGAAACTTACAGAGAGTGTAGACATGACAGTGGTTGTCATAGGATGGATGTCACTGTGTCACCGCAGGCAGGACAGTTTACTCTGCTTCCCTTCTCGCCAATGATGCAGCCTAATGCCTTGGAAGGAGTCCCATCAGGTTCCTCGGGGTTTAATTCCATCCATCCAATCCAAAGACTTCTATCGTGTTCTGCAACACTAATTTAAAAATGTTCCCAACTTCAAGAGAATTTTTTTGGGGGGGCTTAGTATTGGCAGATAACAGTAACATTTCTTCTCTTCTGCATTTAGCTTAAAGTTGAAGATGGCACAGCTTTCTGAGAACAAGGAATTTTTTTAGTAGCCAACAGTTAATGGGGGGAGATCTTCATGGGGGTAGGAACATGTGTCACCCAGGAAAACAGCAACAGAGCCAAGACTGATCCATTGCTGGTCCTGTTTGAGTGGTTGTGTGTTCAGTTTTATGGAAAGTCAGAGAAACCTGTGCAGACTGTCTTCAGAGGCCCATTCCTTGTCTTCATGTAAGACCAGCTTAACCTGCCAAAGGGAGATGGTTCTCTGTCTACGTTATAAACAGCTTTCAGAGAGGAGCGCGTCTGCCTTAAAAGCCCTAAGTTGTTTTGAGTTTCTCCAACAAAAAGAAATTATGAGTGTTTGTGGTCACTGTCTAATCTGTCATCACATATTGTACATATGTCTGGAAACGTCACACCTCTCCACGCTTGTGTGCAGTTACTGTGTCAAAGAAAAGTGAAAATGTATTTGAATACCCTACATTATAATAATAAATGCACCAGGAATTTACATGGCCCACGAGATAAATGAGGTATGCTGAACAATTTTGCATTTCCCTAACCAATAGGTAAGTACTGTAGAAAGTACAAAAGGAACACATACAGACTCAAGTCAAACTGTTTACTCAGGGCTTGCTTCTCTTAAAAAAAAAAGATCCTTTTATTTGTAATACACATTTGAAGTTTAAAAATTCACATTACACACGATTACAAAGGAGTTAGTAGAAATCTCTTTAATTTCACAACTCTGATCTACAAAAAATGTGAAAAATGCCGGGCGGTGGTGGTGCATATCTTTAATCCCAGCACTCGGGAGGCAGAGGCAGGCAGATCTCTGTGAGTTTGAGGCCAGCCTGCTCTCCAAAGCGAGTTCCAGGAAAGGCGCAAAGCTACACAGAGAAACCCTGTCTCGAAAAACCAAAAAAAAAAAAAAAAAAAAAATGTGAAAAACAATATTTTTTTCATTTCAAGAGTGAATGAATACACACCAAGTTTTATTAAAAAAATGTAAGTAAGGGGCTTGGGAGATGGCTCAGTTGGCAAAATGCTTGCTACACAAGAGTGAGAACCTGGGTGTGGATTCTTAGCACCTGTATAAAAATCTGAACGTGGTGGTGCCCACGTGTAATCCCAGTGCGGAGGAAGCAGAGGCAAGAGAATTCCTGGGGTTAGCTGGTTAGCTAGTCTGGTTGAATAAGGAGCTCCAGGTTAAGTGAGAGATCTTACCTCAGATAATAATATGGAGAGTGACTGAGAAAAGAAAGCAGATGTCAATCTTTGGTTTCCACACATGCACATGTAAATACTTGCAGTACACACACACACACACACACACACACACACACACACACTAAATAAAAATATGAGCAAATGGTACATTACAATTTGGAAGAACTTATCATATGTTGAATGGAGACTTATGCAATAACGAATTACCTTTATGTATCTACTCTAGCCGTACCTGCTTCAACAGTGTGAGGCTGTCATGATGGCTGCCCTCTTGCTTATGTCTCCAAGAGTGCTGCTAAATGCTCTGAGATCTGTGTACTGTGCCTGGGATGTCTCTGAATGAGTGCCCCCTTGTCTCTATTTCTCCTGATGTAGAAATTTGATCATAATATTGTCTGGCACTTGGACAGATTTGCCAAATCTCAAAAAGAATTTTTCTTGTTTTCCTCAATATGACATTTCCCATACCAACTTGGTTGAAAAGAGGAATTCTTGATTTTTAAATTAAAATTTAAAAAGCCAATAGAACTTTTCTCTTAACCTCAAAAATGGTGTGGTTAAAATTTGAGAAGGGTTAGTCCTTATTTTTCTGAATCATTTTTCCCATTCATGTATTTCAAGTATCCCTTTGTGCAGACAAGAATGTGCTCTGGGAAGCAGGGCTTTCTAGTGCTTGGAGAGTGTCCTTGGAAAGCCTAATTTGCTTAGCAGGAAGGTAATGAGGCTGAGTTTATGCAGTTGCAAGCATTGCTTTGGTGGCTTTGGGAGTGATTCCTTTTGCTCTTAAGGTGTACCCAGAAGCCCTTTGATAACCATCTTCATGCTGGAAGAAATGGTGTTTACATGTTGCAACTATCTATGTTCTGCTTTCAGAAGTATTTAGCTAAATAAGGTTTTTGATTTTTAAGATATAATGGGCTGCTCTTTATGTTGAAGGATTGTCCTATTGATCACTGGGCTGCTTGCCATCATTCCCTTTTATAGAATTAAAGAGATACATTGTGAATTAGGATTTATGTAAACAATCCATATTAGTTGTTTTTCTATTGCTGTGACAAAACACCATGACTAAAATACTGTATAAAAGAAAGCTTTTAATTAGACTTACAGTTTCAGAGAGTTAGAGTCCGTGATGGCAGAGCAAAGGCATGGTGGCGGGAATAGCTGAGAGCTCATATCTTGAGGAGGCAGAGAGAGGAATATTAGATTATTTTGGGTGTGAGAAAGGGTCTCACTATGTAGCTCTGGCTGTCCTGGAACTCACTATGTAATATAGACCAGGCTGGCCTAGAACTCACAGAGATCTGCCTGCTTATGCCTCCCAAGTGCTGGGATTAAAGGAATGTTTCACTATACCTGGCTGAGAGGAACACTGGAAATGAGTCATTTGAAACCTCAAAGCTTGCCTGCAGTAACAACAAGGCCACACCTCCTAATCCTCCCCAAACAGTTCAAACAACAGGGGACCAAGTATTCAAACAGGAGCCTATGAGGGCCATTCTTATTGAAACTACCACACAATCTTCCCCCAACTCCCCTTGGAACTACATATTAGTAACCATTTTCACAATTCTACCATCAAAATGATGCTGAGGCATTGATGAGGCAAGATGGTTATTTAAAAGTTTTGTACTTGGCTCTAGGCTTCAGTGTAATTTTAGTCGTAGACCACACACAATATCAGTCAGGTTGGGCAAGGCTATGCTGCTGAAACAATTGCCACCCAAACAACAGAGATTTGTTTCTTAGGGCAAAGATTTCTGTGGGTGGCTGTTTTCCAGGCTCAGAATTCTCAGCTGCTTTATGTTATGATGCTGCTATAATAAGATCTGCACACACAATTGCTGGATAGACAGAGAGAGCCCAAGAGCCCATCACTAGATGATAAATACTTCCATTTGGAAGTGGTGCACATCAATTTCATTCACATCTGTTGGACAAATCCATAAGAAGGCCCTCTAATTTGAGGGGTACAATATGAATCCTAACTTGTGGCTATAGGTAGAAAGAAACTATGTAGAGGAGGCAGCACTAAGGCCACCACCTATATGTAAACACTTCACAACAGTTGTGAATTGTTGGGGCTGGAGAGATGGCTCATCATCTCCCAAAAGAACCATTGGCTGAGAACCAAAACTTTAATCCATGGGCCTCCGTGGACACTTATCCAAACCATAGTAAGTCCCCGGTGAGAGTTAAAAATAAAGCACTTAGACAAAGTACACAGTAAGTACTTTACGTATGTGCTGTTGTTTTCATTTCACCAGGCAGGCCATGGTGTCTTGTGGCAGCCAGCTCCACCCACAGAAGCTGCCTCTGGGAGCTTTGCACACGGATGCAATGAGGCATTGGGAGACTGACCCAGCTCACTAGCGGAACTGGACTGTTACTCAACTGTTAAGGACTGGGTCAGGACCAAAGGCCGTGCTAACATCATGGGTAAGAAAGGAAGCAAACCCGAGTCACACATTGAAAAGAAAGCCAAGCTCGCTCAATTAGAGAGAGATCCAATTATTTTTCAAAATGTTGCTGTCATTGGAATTTGGACTGCAAGTCAAAATTGTGTTACAAAATAGATGACAAGCAGTTGAAATATTGACTGAGGGAAAGAGTCTGGGCATGCCAAGAAGAATCCTTGTAATTAATCTTCCCTGGTAATCTCATCAGGGTAACCATTGCTAATTAGAAACATGTTTTGTCAGCCCATCCAGATTCTAAGCCTGGTGATGGCAGGGGTTCACCACAACCCCAAGACGATGGTATGTTTTTGCATACAGCAAGAGTCTAATCAGTGTCGTCTGTTACGGTTCTGCATTGAAAGCTAAACAAGAAATCACACTCTCAAGGCAGACGCAGAGCAGAAGATTTTTCCTGGAATGGGGCCATTGTCTTTTCCAATTGCAGCCCACGTGGAAAGGGTGAGTTTGGTTCTGACAGTGTGAGTGGCAACATCTGGAGTCTGGCCTTCTACCCTGGGCCTTGACCTCCTCTTTCAAAACCGGTAGACAAATACCTTGTAGAAAATTCTAAACAGTGAAAGGGTGTGACCCTATGAAATCCACCAGGGCAATGTCACTGCCCCTTTGCACGTAAGGTCATCGTATTGGTCTAAACAGAAGACTTTGACTTCTCATTAATACACTGCCAACTTCCTGCCCATCATGCTGTCCGACATGGTGCTCATGATTGTTCATTTAGAAGACTTAAGATGCTTACAGGCAATATCTTATGCAATTAAGACTCTGTGTAGCTTTTTTTTTATTGTATTAAAATATTCAAAAAATAGGCTGGGCAGTGGTGGCACACGCCTTTAATCTCAGCACTTGGGAGGAAGAGTCAGGCGGATCTCTGTGAGTTTGAGGCCAGCCTGGTCTACAGAGTGAGATCCAGGACAGGCTCTAAAACTACACAGAGAAACCCTGTCTTGAAGAACAAAACAAAACAAAACAAAATTCAAAAATAAAACCTACATTTATACCATTTTTAATTGTATAAGATAGTTCAGAGATATTTGTATCATATGTTAACTTTGAAAATGAAATCACCATTCACCTGGTGGGTACTTGTGACTGTCTTAGTCAGCTATTGGTTGCTGTGGCACAATGCCTCACCCAACAGCTTGAGAGAGAACGTCACTTTTGTCCCCTCTGTGGCAGATGAAGTTGAGCAGCTCAAAGCAGGAGGCTGGGGGTGGGGAAGGTGATGTTAGCTGGCTTTCTCTTTTTCTTCTCTGATTTCGTCAGGACCACCACAGGGTAGAATGGTGACGAGCACATTTAGAGTGGGTCTTCCTGCCTTAGTCAATTGTTTCTAGAAACCTCACAGACATACCTACAAGTGTGCTTTCCTGATCCCGAGACAGTTCTCAACCCTGTCAAGTTGTTAAGATTAACGGTCAGGACTCATTAGCACTTTTACCAAAGAAAAGCATGGGACGGAAAAGGATAGACAGCCCCATTGTGTAACAAGTTCTCTCAGTAACGTTTTTGTAGATGATTGGATGGCACCAGAAGTGGAATTCATTGACCAAAATGAAAATGTGCTCTTAGCAGGGGCCATTATTCTTGCTATGTTTTTCTCTTAATAGAATTAGATTTACTCATAACCGAGTGTAGATTATAGTTTCCTAAGCTGAATGACTGACTCTTCAGAAGCCACCACAGTGGGGCAGGCTTGGTGGTTCTCCAGCCTGGCAGAAGATGCTAACAAACTATATTTTCCTCATGGTAACTGCAGCTTTGCAAAGACCATCTTCCCTCTTGGTGACCCTGATGGGGAGCATAGGTATACCACCTTCCTTCTCACCTGAAGAGACACCCCAAGTCCCTTTCCTCCCACTGGGTAAGATGCTATCTGCTTCTCAAAGTCAGTTTCAAATACTCCTGTCCCCAAAGTAGGAAGAAAATGGCAACAGCAGAAAGAGACCATGTATTTCATAGATTCAAGAGTGAGGAAAGGAGGAGCCAGTGGAGCCGAAGGAAAATCTTTACACATTTTTAATTTCTGGATAGAAGGAGCCAACTATGTTTGATATGGAGGTGACAATTTTTTTTCCCATAGAGAAATTTAGGTCTTTCGTGCAAAATGATAGAATCTAAATGTTGGGAAAGATGTTGGAGGCCAGCTGGCCTTTTTTTCCCCCGATCTAGTATCGTGCTCCTGACACAGACTCTGAATTCTCCTAGGCATGGACACTCCCTCCTGAGCTCTTCCACAAGATAGTCTCTCCTTATTGTGACCTGCACTTGCCAAACAACCCTCAAGTAGGGCAGCAAGCTGTACTTGTTTGCTAGGACTGTGATAATAAAATACCCTGAGGGAGGGCCTTCAATTAGACCTTTGCCTTCCCACTAGTCTAGGATCAAGGCTCTGCAGGGCTGGTGTCCTCTGAGACTGCTCTTTGTCTTGCTAATGGATGGCCGCTTTCTGTTTTGCTCTCAGAAGTTGATCTGTCTGTGCATACACATCCTCTTCTTACTAGGACATCAGTTTGTGTAGACACTCAGGCAAGCGCTCATTTCCAAACGCAGTTACTTTCTGAAGTGCTGGGAGTTGGGACTTCAGCATATGATAGCAGGATATGGAAGTGGAAAGGCCCGTACTTCAGTTTATCACAGGTGTTCTGGGAAGATTGAGGCTGGACAACCAATGAGCATCAATGAGCCTCAAAGGTCTTATGCTGAGAAATGGATTCTCTTACCCTTTTGGGATCCTTACTCAATAGAAGGAAAAGGACTGGGGGTATCTCTTCAGGAGAGAAGGAAGACCAGGGCACACCAGTGTGCCTCAAAGGTCTTACACCATGCTGAAGCATAGCTTCTGTTAGTTTTTGGGGTGCAGTGATAGACAAGGGGCTGCCGGGCATGAAGAACAGCTGCCTTATTTAAACAGTGCATTTTTTGATGGATTTTCTTTGTGTTGGTGCCAAGATGTACGAAATGCTGTGAGGTAGTAGGGGAAAACCATCAACCTCAGGCATTAGAAAGGCGATGTTCATCAGTCCAGATGCTGTCTTGGAAAATGGGCATGAATGCTCTTCACCGCTGTAAATGCAGTAGAAACATGGAACAGGATCTACTGTGGGAATTAAAATGAAAGCAGGGAAATCAAGGAGTAGGGTGAATAGGAACTCTAAATTCTCATTATCCCACCAAGAGATCTACTTAAGCTTGGTCTAGCGGGGTCCCTCTCATGTGCACAGAGAGGGATCCACATCTATGATACTACTCAGTGTACTCCACCAGCTGGTTGTTGCCAGTCCACAAAGACACATGATATGGCACCAGAATATCAATCTACAATGTCCCTAAGCACAGTGTTTGCTTTAGTTTTTCCTGTGGCCAGACTTTCTCAGTGGAGGAAGTAGTATGTTGATTGGCAGAGTGAGGCAACCTTCACATCACCATCAGAACAGTTCCAATTTGAGTTTTGAGCCCAGGAACATATGAATAGAGAGGTATCTCTGCCCCTATGTCCCGGTAGTCACCCAAGCTCCTGGCCTCATTATGGAGGAATGTCTTTGAGGCTCAGCATCTGGAATTATTCCTGGGAGGCTTGCTGAGTCAACTTCTTCCTAAGCTCCCAGAAATTGGAAGAAATGAGTCCCCAGGGACATCAACTTCATTTCTTTTCATACATTATTGTGCCGTAGCTTATTACCAATGTCTTTGGTATGTGGATATCATCTGAATAATCCTGTGTGCACAGACTCAGTGATGTTTCTGGATCCACAGTACTGAAGACAGTGCTTTGGACCGTGGTCACTAACAAGCCGGTTGGCCATGCTCACTGACACCTTTCCACAGGGAAACCCCACCTTTGCTCATCGTCTACTGTGTCTGGGTGCATTTGACGCTACTTGGACGTATTCTGTTACAGTTGTGACATTGTCTTACATACCTTGCTTGACTCTCTGTCTCCTCCTAAAAAATATTATTTGAGATTTTATGAGGGAGACCCTCCAAGCATCATGGCAGGCAGGGAAATGAACCATGGAGAGATGAGAATGAAAACTCAGTTCAGCCTGACTTCATCAGGCTGGATCAAACTTCTAGAGAGTTGGATGCCAGGCGGTTTACGGCCAGCGTATTTAAACACAGTACAATTTGGGAACAAGTTTCTTGGTGTATTGTAAACCCCGGTGCTCAAGGAGGCATACGTACTTTGATTCCACTCAAAGTATGTGTCATTTCTTCCAAGGAGGTGGGATCTGGAGATGAGCTGCCTGTACTGGCTTAAGAGCCTAAGGAAGGATCTGGCCTGGCCTCAGCCATAGGAGAGCACAGAGGTCATTTAGGATATTAGCCATTTCCAGTTCTGTTTGGGAGAGCCTCTGGCTATACAGATAATGTAAGGGTCATTTTGACTACTAGCCACTTCTGTTCCTGTTCTGGAAGCTTGATATGGCCTGGCCCAACAGATAATGCAGATCACCAGGCTATTTATCACCTCCATTTCCTAGCTTTTTGGATGGAAAAATAGGTTGTATGTCCTTCCCTTTGAAAGGACAATCCTTCATGCTTAGCATTACTGGTTTCTCTGCTGATCTATTCATACACCTAACAATTTTAAATTGCATTGCATTAATTGATTGTGTGGGGTAGACATAAGGGCTGGGGCGGGGGTCGGTGGGGGTGTGCATGTGCTGTGATGTGGGTATGAAAGTCAGAGAAAAACTGGCAGGAGTTGGTTCTTTCCTGCTACCACATGGGTCCTGGGGATCAAACCTGGTTAGGTGGGAAGTGCCTTAGCCCAGGTACTTTAAATACAGTGCCTGCAGTCTTCACTATAGCAGGATGGCAAGAGGAATAAAGGGCATGCAAAAGCAAATGGAGAAGTTCAACCATCCCTATTTGCAGATGACGTGACCTGTACTGAGAAGATCCTCTGACTTCACTAGATAGCACTGGTAAGTGATCATTTCAATAAAGTAGCAAAAAAAAAAAAAAAAAAAGGAAGTATAAAAGTCAGTAGCTTTTTATATACAAACAGTAGGGCCTCTGACAAGATTTGAACCTTTCAAACTGCTCAAGGAAAACAGGTAAAATGCTTCAAGAGATAAGTATAGCCAAAGATGTTCTGAAAAAAGACTTAGGTCTTTCAGGAAATGATGTCACGAGCGGATAAATGGGATTGGGTGGGATTCAAAAGCTCCTGCACAGTCAAGGATTTGTTGAGTGAAGAGACAGCCTACACAACAGGAGAGAATCTTTTCCAGCATACATCTGAGGTTTACAAAGAACTGAAAAAATTAAACATCAAATTCCCAAATCATCCATTCAAAAAGTGAACAAATAAACAGACGGTTCTAAAGAAGAAAGAAAGAGAGAGAGAGAAAGAAAGAAATACAAACATCTAACACAACCAGCTAACAGAGCTATAAAGAATACTAAGCTCCCTTAGTTGTCGGGGACACATACATTAAAACTATATTGTGACCTTATCATCAAGAAAACAGACAGCAAATGCTGGTAAGGGTGTGGAAGAGAGGAACTCAGACAGGAATGTAAACCAGTCACCTGGAAGCTGAAACTACAACTACCACCACTATAGGATCCAGCTCCACCACTCACAGCCATTGCTCCGAAGGAACCTAAGTCAGGACACCATCGAGACGTTTGCAAACCAGTGTTCATTGCTGCGCTATTCATAAACATCCATCAATGATGGATGGTTAAAGAAAATATGGTATGTCTAAATAAGGGAGCTAGTCAATGGTAAAGGAGTGAAGCTAAGTCATTTATAGGACAAAGGGTGGAACTGGAGTCCACCGTTTTAAGCAAAGTAAGTCAGACTCCATGTGGTGGTTTGAATAAAAATGGCTCCATAGGCCCATAGGGAGTGGCAGTATTAGCAGGTGTGGTCTTGTTGGAGTAGGTGTGGCCTGGTTGGAGGAAGTGTGTCACTAGGGGTGGGCTTTGAGGTCTCTGATGCTCAAACCACACCCAGTGTGGCATTCTCTTTCCACTGTCTGTGGATACAGATGTAGAACTTTCAGCTCCTTTCCCAGCATCATGTCTGCCTGCACCCCACCATGCTTCCTGCCATGTGATGATAATGGACTGAACCCCTAAAACTATAAGCCAGTCCCAATGAACTGTTTTTCTTTACAAGAGTTGCTGTGGTCATGGTGTCTCTTCACAATAATAGAAACCCTAATTAAGATAAGCACGAAGACACATCTCATATCTTTTTTCCTCATATATGGAATATATATACATATATACTTTATATATATATTTCTTATATACATACCTTATGCATTATATATACCACATATGTATATACACCATATATAATACCATATATATATATTCTCTCTCTCTCTGTGTATGTGTGTTTGAAAGCAGAAGGGGTTATTTGAGGGGAGGGTGGAAGGCATAGAGAGGAGGGTAATAGGGGTGAATATGAACAAAGCTCAATTATATATACAAAAATACAATGAAACCATTATTTTGTATCATAACTTAAATACACACCAGTTTAAACAGACAGGGCTTAGTATGAGTAGTTAGAATATTTTGTGATCACAAGCAGAATTCTGCTTTTTAGATTGGGATTTGGTTTATATTGCCCAAGTAAACCAAGTGTCATATTATGAAAAATATACAAATTGCAACCCATAAGAATAGCAGGAGAATGTCTTAAGAATATGGATGATTGTAGAGGGCACGAGGTCTTTGTGCTCACAGAGAAGCATGAGGGTAACCAAGTCTGGAAAGCACATAGGCTTGTCTCTTCAACTAAAGGGATGTGTATCTGTTTTCTATCAGGGGGCTAGGAGTGGATGTTGTTAATAGCCTGGTGACCTGTGCTATCTGCAGGGCCAGACCACACCCAAATCCCCTAGACTATTATGTTGATTTCAGACTCTTCCTCCCTATATCTTTATCTTGAGCATTTGTTCTCAGTCAGTAGAACCCACCCATCCTTAGGGGAGATGTCACATGTTCTTTGTAGCTTGTGGACCTCTATCTGATCCTACCCTAGGCCCTTAAGATGCCTTAAGTTTTACTGTGCACATGGGATTGTGATCATTGTCACCAGAACACTTTGTTTTCCAAACTGTACAGTACTTAAATATGTCTTATATAAACTGCCTGGTGTCAGACTCTGGAAGTTTGAACCAACACTGGCTAACTAAGCTGTGCTGAGCTGGATTTCTTTCTTGCCTCTCATGGATCAATCCTCTGCCAGTCATAAGCGGTTTCAGGGACCCCCACAGATGACTATGTGTTTTAGTTTCAAATCAGAAAATTCACAGAAGTATGTGGTTTGAAAGCTAGCTGTTGATTGATCAGCCCTTCTGTTTACAGGAATGCAGGCAGAGAGCCAGAAGAATGAAAGTGTCCATGGTCACACAAAAGGTTAGTGGACGAACTGACCCATAGCTGGATTCACTCAGCCATGGGACTCAAGTGTACACTAGTGTGTGGTCATATCACACAATAGATGTCCACTCTCATGGCCTGTATCTATCAGGCTGACTTTCCTTTGTGCTGTGCCTCTGAAGGCATTGGGTGGAATGCTGGGCATCATAATGCCCATCAGGATGACAAACAGAATTGAGAAGGGAAACAGTGAACAAAAGTACTGAAAGACTGCAGAGTCGGGCACACCTAGGTGCGCTGACCTGTAATCAGTCTTTCTCGTTGGACTTTCTTTGGACTGCCAGCCCCCAAATAATGACATGGAAACTTATTATTAATTCTGAAAGCTTGGCCTTTAGCTTAGGCTTGTTCCTAGCTAGCTCTTATAACTTAAATTAACCTGTTTCTATTAATCTACATTCTGTCACGTGGCTCTTTACCTCTCCTCCATTCTGCATGTCTGACTCCCTCTGTGTCTCACTGGAGTCTCTTGCCACACCAGATTCTAACCTTGAGTTCCTCTCTCTGCCCAGAAGTCCCTCCTAGTCTTTCCTTCCTAGCTATTGGCCATTCAGCTCTTTATTAAACCAACCAGGTTCCTTAGGCAGGTGAGACAAAATATAGACACATCTTTATGCAGTAGAAAATAAATATCCTGCAACATGTCCCCCTTTTTGTCTGAATATAAAGGAAAGATTTTAACTCTAACTCAGTAAAACTATATACAATAAGAACAATTATCAGGTAAAAAAAATCACATTTACAATGTCCAGCCCATTAGTATTTGGCAAATTCAGAGAAAGTACTCTATTATCTATCCTATCTTGGTAAATCCAAAGTTTTACACCTAAACCACTTTCTATCATAACTTGCATTACCATCCCAAAAACACCTTTTTAGTCCTTGAAAGATTTTCTTTTAATTTTCACTTATTCTTTGTGTCTTTCACATCATGCATCCTGATCCCACCCATCTCCTGTCCCCTCCCATCTGCCCTCTGCCCCTGCAACCTCCCCGACAAAATAAAACAAAATAAAATTTAAGAGAGAAAAGGAAAAAAAAAAAGAAAGGGAAAATCTTATCATGACAGCTTCAGTGAGACACAGTGAGTCACACAGTAAACTTTTATCTATATATCTTTACATGCAGGTGTTCACCAGAAATAATCACTGGTCTGGCTCGAGGTCCCTGGTCTCTGCTACACCATCGACACTGGGCCCTCACTGGGACTCTTCCTGGACATCTTGTTGCTGCCCTGTGTCATGGAGAGCCTGCATCCCTGGGTCCAAAGGACCCCCCCCCCCCCATACTCCAGCAGAGCACAGATGGGGCAGGTGTTGGGGTAAGCCAACCTTAAACCTAGTTCTGGGTCTGGGTAGTTGCAGGGTTGCTCAGCCCTCCAGTTCTCCCCGTCTTCACCACCAGGGTGAGCTCTCCAGCATTGCCTTGTTAGTTCACCCCTTGCAGCAATGAGCAAGGGACAGAACCAATTCTCCTGCTTTCACACCCTCAGGTTCAGTTCTCCTACACCTACACCTTCAGGGCCAGCTCTACTGTGTTGGCCAGTTGAGGTATAGGGGCTGCTCTCCTGACTGCTGCAGCTGATGAGGGGCAGGGACAGCTCTCCTGCTCTTATGAGACCTCTTGGGGTGAGCTCTTCCAAACCTGCCTCAGGTGTTGATGGGTGGGAGACTCTCCTAATCCATGCCACCACATGACAGATGAGTAATGGAGACAGCTCTACAATCGTCACAACTTTGGGGCTGGCTCACCTACTCTATCATGCTGCCTGGGCAAGGTGCAGGGTCCACTTTACTGAATGCTGCAGGTAGTAAGGGGGAGGAATAACTCCCTTGCCCACCACAGGTGGCAGGGGCAAGGAGGTGGGGAGTGAATCTTTCCTTTGCCCTCACTATCACATGGCAGATGAGGAGGGTGTGGCCAGCTATCCCACCCTCACACCGTCAGGGCAATCTCATCCATGCCTTTGCCCACAGGGTCAGCTCTACTGATATGCCCAGATGAGGAATAGGGCCTGCTTTCCTGAGTGCTGCAACTGGTAAGGGGGAGGGCCAGCTCTGTTGTAGGTGGTAAGGGGCAAAGGGTAAAGAGGGGCATCTCTCCCCCACCCATATGGCTGCTTGACAGATGAGAAGTGGAGTCAGCTCTCCCACACTCACAACTTCAGGGCTGGCTCACCCAAACCTCCACTAACAGGGTTGGCTCTGCTGTGCTGCCCAGGTGAGGTGCAGGGCCTGCTCTCCTGAGTGTTGCAGCTGGTAAGGAGCAGGGGCAGCTCTCCCACTCTTATGACCATCCATCTTTGGTTTTTCCATGAAGCAGGAATTTTGAAGGACTGCCCTATCTTGTCCTGGCAAAGTTCAGCAGTCACCTTCTTTTGTGTCCTGCTTGTCCAGTTTGAACAGCATATTCTTAACAGTTGAGGCAAGGGCAGTTTCTTGTCCAGTAGCTAACTTTGCCACAAATGAAAGCAAACTCCACATGGAGATTCTTTGATGCCCATCTTCTCTGAAGTAGATTGGTGCTGCCAGGAGCAGACATGTCACTGTCACAAAAAGCCTTATGTTATTAAAATAACTTAAATGACATATTCTGTATATCTCTGAAGTGTCTGAAGACCACTTTTCTATCTAAAATATATCTCTGTTTGACCTTGAAAACATACCTAACATGACTACAAGTTTAATTGTTATAGATGACTAACTACTAACCCGAGTTTCTTAGTTATCCTGAACAGTTTGTAATAATAGCTTTCAAAGACTAGAACTTTATATTACAATTTTAAATGAGTTGCATAGGTATAACACCTTACAGTATGTTGTAACAAAAATTACCTTAAATTTGTATCAATATACAAAAATACATTAAACAAGAGTAGAAACATAGATACAATATAACAAAAATAACCTTAAATTTGTATCAGTATACAAAAATTGGTACCAATGTAAAATATTTGATACTAGTTGTTCCTTTTTAGTTTAAAAATAGATTCAACAATGTACCCTTTCATCTTATCATTCTTATGCCTCCTTTTTTCTTTTCAGAAAAAGATCTTTGAATTTAAACTCCTTTGCTTACTTTTTTCCCTGACCATGACTCAATACAACCTGCAATCAACCTCCATAAATGATGACAAACATCCATAACCCATCAAATGAGCAAAAACCACCCACCTCACCTCTTGTGAATGTAGGCATTGTATTCTCTAGACTGCTTCCTGTTGTTTGAGAGCAATGACATCTTTAGGAGGCCTTGAGAAAGCTGGAATAATGATCAAGTTCTGGGAGAGCTAGCTGTTGTCCAGTCTCAGTGTGATGGGAAAGTGCAGGGCTTGTTTGAAATCCTAACTGGAGTAGTCTGTGAGGCTGGACCATCTGAACTAGCTGCTTTCAAGTTGTTCTGGATGCAGATTTTTGTGGAAACTGCAACAAAGGCATTGTGAGGGGCTGGATCACCTGGTCTACTTGTTTGGTCTTTTTTTTTGAAAACACACAGACTTTAAAAGGTAACATACATACCTGTATTAATACAAGTATAGAATTTGCAGTATGCACAAATCAGCTAAAGATGATTCTCTGCTCTAGTTTGAGCAGGTAAATGACATCTGTCAACTTTGTAAGTCTGTTTGGACTACATAATGAAGCTGTAATATAAATCTCCATCCATGCCATATGAAAGGATAGCAAGTAATAATAAGTCATGGGGATTCTATGGCCAATATGAATTATCATGTCTCATCCAGTCTCAGAGCTGTTCCCATGTAGAGGGGTCAGCTTATATGTCACCTGTCTTATAGTTTTTCTTCATTTCTTTCTTCATGTCTGCAGCCAAGATTTTCAGAAGTTTTCCCCTAATCTAATCTGATCTTTATTAATTTTGAATGAATCCATAGCTTTTTGTTTCCTGTGGAAACAAAGGCATAACCTCTCCCCCAGTGCAACCTATTTCCTGACTTCCCTTCTGAGGTTCAGACATTTTTTTTTTTTTTTTTTTTGGTTTTTCGAGACAGGGTTTCTCTGTGTAGCTTTGCGCCTGTCCTGGAACTCACTTGGTAGCCCAGGCTGGCCTCGAACTCACAGAGATCCGCCTGGCTCTGCCTCCCGAGTGCTGGGATTAAAGGCGTGCGCCACCACCGCCCGGCCGGTTCAGACATTCTTAAAATGCTCAGGCTGGTTTAATTTAGTATATTTTTTCTGCAATTCAGTGTCTCTCAGCAGCAGTTGCCTTTTGCTCATCAGCTTTCAAAAACTTTAAAATCAATAAAGCAGCACACAGGATCTAGGCACCCTGTGTATTTTCCATCTTTATATCGCTTATTTATTTTTTGTATTACTTTATTCTTTCTTTAAAGACATTATTTTTAAACTATTTATTTTCTTCTATGACTGTCCATACTCATTTTCTTTTCTTTCTTCAGCACCTAAGCACATTTTCAAGTATACTTTACCTGTTCAGAGGTTTTCTTGGCCTGGATCTGGCTTTTTTTCCCCCATGTCTCAGTGTTTTATGACTACATGAGCCAAACCTTAAACTGCTGGGCTATCTGCCATGTGGCTCTGCTTAGCAAACTGCACTGGTGGCTGGCTCCACCCCCTTCAAGGTCATGAGATCCAAGCCTTACATCCATGAGTACTGACCAGGAACTGTGTTTACTTGCCCTAGCTCAAAGAAGTTGCTGGAGCTATGCTGTGGCTGGCATTTCTATTTAGTCTCCCATTGTAGACCCTTCCAAATACCCAGTAAACATGCCTGTGGCCAAATCATCCCATTATTCAGTCCTGCTGGGTAAAGCAAGCCCAGATTCTCTGACCCTGAGTAAGTTCTCACTAGGAAGCCTCTGTGGGATCCCACAGGTACACTTATTATAATAATAATATAAAGGGCCCCACAAGCCCCTCAAATGGACTGTGCTTGTCTTAGGTCGCCTTCTTCACTAATCAGCCTTACTTGTCATGGAGATACACCTTCCTCCAACTGTACTCTGTCTTAGGTTGACAACTAGCAAGAAGGACTTACCTATCCCTGACTACCATCCTCTGGAAGGGGAAGGTACAGAGCCTAACTCCATGCAATTCTGAATCAGGTTTCCACTAAGATCTTGCAAGTAGCTGGAATTACTATAACATTACTCCTGCACCCTATGGCTGCCACAGTTCCCAGTAAAGGAGTAGAGGATGATAAAGATGGAATGGCCTTTTTGAATGGGTCTCAGATGACTACAGCAGTCTTAGCTGCACAAAGCCCTTTTTTAACTCAATAAACTCCTGATGCAACTGCATTAAACAAACCAATAAACTCCTGATGCAACCACATCAAATCTAAAGACTTTTTAGCATCACCATTAACATTAACAGGTTAACATAATTTTAACATAAATATTACTAAACACAATTACAATTCTTACAAACTTACATCCAAAAACAAACTCTAAATAGAACTATTTATGCTTTACAAACTTAGCAAATATCCAAAAGCAATCTCGTAATAGAACTCTTTACATTTTAAAGCAATCTCTTAATATAACTATTTGCATTTCTTTCTAACAAAACAGAGGGTACATTAACATAAGTTAACATTAATCCACTCAAGGGACAAGAAAATATTTTTTTTTAATTAAAGAGACCGAGGAATATTAACTACCCCGCTTCTTTATAATTTTTTAAGCTGCATCTTAAGCCTGGCTAGAAAAAACTCAAACTTCCCCATTTTTA